TGAATAAAATGATAGTGAATAATCGATTTGTTGTTCGTATTTTATAGATATTTCTATAGAATAAATTTATTTATCGAAATTAACTAAAATAAATTTATTGAAGAGGATTATATTTGTTTTATCGGTTTATATAATTGTGATAAAGAAAAAAAGTTTATAAAATAATTATTGAATAGTTTGTCTTGCTTTTTTCTTTGGAGAATATTTTTCAATAATAATAAAATAATTATTCAAGTTAAATATTGAAAACAAAATTGAATAAATAAAAGTAAATAAATGTTAATATATATATAGGTGATTATTTATTATTTATTATAAAAGAAATATATTATAAATAAAGATGATCAATTTATTATTTTTTATTATATTATTGACCAAATAAAATGAACTAAAATCTCATGTTATAGATATATATTAGGAAACTATTATATTTATTATTTATTAAATTTTTCAAGGAAAACTAATTAATAAATAAGTTAAATAATTTACTTATAAAAAGAAAAAGATTTTTTTCGTAGAATGATATTAAATAAAATTGTGTAAGTCAATTGAACTAATCCCATTAAAGTAAGAATGTTAATAATTTATCTAAAATAAAAATAATAATAAAAAGATTCTCTATTAAATAAATCATTTTATATATAATAAATATCTCTTTCGATTATAATTTTGAGAAAAAATATTGAAAATTAAACAATTTAAATTGATTTCTAATGTTTGTCAAATAATTTAAGTTAATATTCGATAAATTGTGAAAACTAATTGTCATTATCACCTTTTCAAATCTATTTATCGTCAATGATAAAAGGGAAAATTCTTTAAAAGATTGATTATAGATAGAGAGAATTTCGATTTCCTATCAATAAATATTTTATTTAGTCCGAAATGATCTATTCGGGAAATACAGACCGTTAATTATTTATTTTTGGTTGTCATCATAATTTAGCAATGGTATGCCGTCCACTGGTGTACGAAGGTCTCTCCCATGTTTTTTTCAGAATTGTCTATCTTGTGGAAAAGTGTTCCAGTTGTTTCCCAGGAACGAATGAATTTCATTCCTCCATCTCCATTTGTTTCTTTTTATTCTTCTTGTTATATCAATAATTTTTGTTTGTTTTCTTATATGTTGATTTTGAATCTTGTCTATTATTTTTATTTCGAAAATGTTTCTTTCCATTCGTCTGTGGATAGGTCGAAACTTATTTTCTAGTCTTTGTGTCATATATAATGTATCTGACCCATAGATAATCACTGTAAGTATGCATTGGTCAAATGCTTTCTTTTTTCGATATAGTGGAATGTCTGATTTAAATATTTTGTTTAGTTTGCCAAATTGTTTCGAAGCTTGTAATATTCTTTTGTTGATTTGTGACTTCCTATTTCTGTCTCTTTCTATTGTTTGAGTGAGATAAAGATAATTATTGGTTTTCTCAATTTGTTGATTGTTTAATTGAATTTTTCTATTGTCCTTTATAGATTTGTTTATCATAATTTTTGTTTTGTCGATATTAATGTGTAGACCTGATTTAATGCTTTCTTTATGAAGTTCTTCCATAATTGACTGTCGAATTTCTAAGTTGCTTGAAAAAAGAAGAATATTATTAGGAAATTTTAAATTATTTCGATATTCTCCATATATATTTATTTTCTTTTCTTCCCAGTTTAGTCTTGTGAATATATCTTCTAGAGATGTAATAAAGAGAATTGATGAGATCGTATTTCCTTGTCTTATTCCTCTCTTTATTTTTATATTTGTTTCAATATTATGAAGGTTTTATCATTGTCGTATATTTGATTAAATCAATATATTCTTTTTTGAATGTGTTGCTTTTCTAAGATTTGAACGATTGCTGATTTTTCTAGAGTATAAAATGTCTTTCGATAGTCTTTGAATGGGATATAGAGTGGTAAATTAAATTCCTTGCTTTTTTCCAAGATCTGATTTCGAGTGTGAATATGGTCAATTGTAGAGAATGATTTTTTAAAACTGGCTTGTTCTCTATCTTCTGTTCTTTCTAGTTTGTTTTTTAGCCTATTGGTTAAAATTTTTGTAAATAACTTGTAGAGATGTGAAAGGAGACAAGATGACCTATTATTTTTTAGATCAGTACGATCTCCTTTTTTCTATATGAGGATGATATTTGCATTATTCTAAGCTTGTTATATTTTCTTTTCTTTTAGACACGTGTTAAAAAGTTGTTGAATAGTTTTTCGAAGAGTTGTTCCTCCATTTTTTATGATGGAAATAGTTATGTGATCTGTAGGTGTGGCCTTGTTGTTTGAGATTGATTTAAGTGGCATTTTTATTTTTCCTATGATTATGTCAAAAATATAATTTTCTTGTTCATAGTTATTTTCGTGGTGTATAGATGTTGATAAAATTGTTTGATTCTATTGCTCATTTCGTGTCTATCGTATAGAATATTTCCGTATTTGTCTTTTAAGGAAATTATTTGATTTTATGAGCAGGTGAGATGTTTTTGAAGGTTCTTTTCAAGCTTTTATTTTTTTTCAATTGTATTTTGAATTATTTTTGTGTTTTGGTTTCTTTTTTCTATCGGTATTTTTTTCTTTATTGTTTTGTTTAGTTCTCTGAGTTCAAAATGATTTGCGTTTGCATTTAATATTCTTCTTTTTTCAAATAACTTTCGTATTTTATCTGATATTTTGAATGTATTTTGATTTGTAGATAATTATTTTTTCAAGTTTTTCTGCAGTGTCAATAATTATTTTGGTTAAATTTTCGTTGATTTCATTTTGATTAATTTTTTTGGTGTTGATTTTTGTTTTTATCAATTAGTCAATTTTTGTTTAAAATTCTTTTTTCTTTATTGTGAGTATCCATGTCTCCGATAATCGCTAAAAAATTGTTGATTGTTTGCCGATCTTTCCCAATAATTTTGGCGATTTCTACAATAATTCGTGATTTTTTCATTGATTATTGTCTTTTATTCTCTGAATAATAGGCATGATTTGAGTGATTTAGTCTCAATTTAATAGAGATATTTATCAATTTTGACTGTTAATTCTAATTGATAAAATATTTTATTGTAAAACTATAAGATGTAGATGATTCTACATAAACGAAATATAATAAAAATAAAAAATTGATGGAAGACGTTATCATTCTCAATAAAACCAAAATACAATCGAAAAAAAAAAGTGAAATATAAGAATAAAATCTAAATCTAAAAAAGTAATAATGATTGCAATAGCGATGATAGAAGATCTAAACCTAAAGAAGAAAATTGTGTTTTTTTTTTCAATTTGATGTCAGTCAATGATTGATGAATTCATCTGAAACTGTATTCAAGAAAAAAATTCTAATTCAAAAAATATTCGATCGAAAACTATGTCTGAAATAGATAATTCATTATGAAAGACATGTTTAGAATTCGAACTAAATAAATCAATGTGAAGTTACTTCAGTTCAGTTCGATTGCAATTCAAAATAGTCTAGTCTCATTCATGGCACAGTACCGAGACCCTTACAAAAAAACTCCACTTTTCACCTTCAAATTTCAATGAATATATGGAAAAATTGGATAGAAAAGAAAATATCATTCATCATTTGATACATTTTAGAGTTTTCCTAATTAATTGTCAATTTTAAAATAGATTACCGAAATTGACGATAAAATAACGATTAATCGCTCCGATTAATCATCGATTTCTGAGACATTGTTTCTCATATAATAATCGTGATAAAATTCTGTTAAATTGGTGAAAATATTCGACAAATATGATTATTATTATCGATGTAAAGGTGAGGTAGGGTATACCCTTAGAAAATCAGCTTTTTCAAAAAAAATCGAAGTTGACTTTCTATCATAGGAAGATCTAGGAAATCTTCCTATTTTATAATATATATGATTTTTTTTTGAAAATAATTACATTTTAAAAGACTTATCATATGAATATTTGAGTCTACTTGAAGATTTTCGGAGATATTTTCATGATTTAAAAAGTTTTTCAGTTTTGAAAAAAGTGCGTTGTCAATTGTATTATCATTGAGAGTAAGATATTTATATAAATAAACATATAAGATGGCGTTAACTACTTTCATCTACTACGTAGTTTAAAATGATCCACTAAAATATATTATTCTTATATGATTTAGTTCAATATTTTAGTGAAAAAATCGATTTCTAAAAGTTATTTAGCGTTTTTCTCAAAAGACGTTTTCTAAATAGGAAAATTGAAATAAATTTCTCTCGGTTCGGTGTATCACCGATGTTTTTGTTCTTTGTTTTAAAGATCTTAATCAAAGGTAACTTTTCATCGGAGAAATTTTTGATAGTCGATTCCTCGATTGAGAAAAGTCGGATTTCCTATCGTGAAGCGCGATTTATTTATGGTTATTTTGAAGATGATGTTCACAAAGATGGTCATAAAAAACTGAATGGAAACAAGTTTGAAAATTTTCTCCAATGAAAAGTTGCGTAAAGAGGATAACTTTTATTCGAAATCAGCCTGAGCTCTGTAGTTCTTATAACAACGGAGTTATGAAGTTTTTTCCCCAGAATGTTTTCTCACGCGAGGGAATCTTCTTAATAAAATAATTGATTTATTTTATTAAAATATATTATTTATAATAAATTCTTTTAAATAGTTTTATCTGATTTTTTTTTCATAAAACTGTTTAATTAAATATTAAATTTGAATTGTTTGTAGAATGATGTTAAGGTAAAATAATAATTATATTTTAAAAAAATGATATTTAATGTTGACTATTATAAATAAATCTGTTAATCAACTTTTTTTCTTTTTTGTTATTTAATTGAAATGATAAAATCTCGAGATATTTTTATGATAATTTATAATCGAATTGATTTATTTTATCAATAGGATTTATTTAAAGTGGATTTTTTTTATCCAAAAAAAAAAAAAACGAAAAATTTGATAAATAAAGAAAAAACGAGTTTAGTGAAATAAAAAAGAAAAAAAAAATGAGTAATAAATAGATGAGAAAAAAAAGCATCTGTTATATTAATATAAAAATGATTGATCAATCATGTTTTTATCTTCAATTATTTATTGATAAAGATATGATAACTAATTATTTTATTGGTTTTTTATTAATTAATTTAATTAATTCAAATCCATTTAACAGAAATAGTTAATTAATTAAATTTATTTATTTATTTATTAATTATTTAAAATATTCTATGTAAATAGGATGTGATGTATGTAATCTAACAGGAGATTTTATTCCATCAAATGGTTATCAATGTTTTATATCGCGTGATGATGAAATAATATGTACTTGTCCTGATAATCTTCAATCAACAATAAATCGTCCATGTCGTTAGTTAATCTATTATTTTATATAGATATATCTATTCACTTTTCTTTTTTCTCTTTATTATAATAAAATAGGAATTTGTCATCGAGAAAATATTTGTGGTCCATCTGATGCATTATGTTCAGAAGAACCAAGATTTTTTAATTTAAATAATAAAAAATCTAATTTTGCTTGTTTTTGTTCATCAGGTATTTATCTATTTGATAAAAAATGTCCACAAGAAATAAATCCATCAACAACTGAAACAAGTTTAATAGATGAAACAACATCTATATCAATGTCAACAACAACTTTTATTCAACAAACAATAACAACAGATTCTTTTATTAATCAAACAAATTCTGATTCAATATCAACAATTTTTTCTACAGAAGAAACAACTATTCCTTTTAGTACAACAAGTTTTATTCCAATCAGTTCAATTAACCCTCAACAAGAAACAACAGAATCATCTATACCTATACCTAACTGTCGATCAGTTGCTTCATATATATTTATTAAAAAATATTTTTTTATTTTATTAAATATTGTTTATTTCTTAAATAAATGATATATAATGAAGTAAAACAAACGAATAAAGAAAACTGATAAATAGGTTAAAATATATTGAATAAAAGTAAATGTATTTGAAAAAGATTTTTAAAAAAAGTTAAACGATTGATTTACGTCTTGCATTAGCTACTTTGACTAATTCATCAACTTCACTCCATTCGATTTCAATAAGACAATCAATTATTTTAATATCATCAAATATACAAGCAACATATTGATGACCAACTGTTGGAACTAGAGGTTTTGTTGGACGAAGTAAACCTCCTTGAGAATCATCCGTTTCTTTATTATTAACGAATGCAGGAATACTTTCACCTTAAATAAAATAAAATAAAAATAAAAATAAAAATAAAAAAAAGTCTCTTCTTAACCTAATTGTTCATATGAATATTGTTTCATTGTTTCATAAACACGTCCTTTTAAATTTTTAATTGTTTCTTTTTTAAATTTTAATATATAATTATCTTTTGGTGGCATTGTATGTGTTGATGGTCCATGTTCAACTTCAGATAATGTTGCCAAAAAAGCCGTTTTAGATTTTTCAATTTGTGATAAAGCTGAATCTTTTCCTTTTAATATTCCCATATTTAACAATAATAGAACTTATTTTTCTTCTTATCTTCGTTTCTTTATTTATATATAATAACACTCAAATACAGATATTATATATCGACTACATTTTCTCTCCTCCTGTTTTTTTTAGCTCTTTTTATATAGAATCATTTCTCCCAAGACTATATAGAAACGATAGAAAAAAGAAACCAACAATATTCGTCGATTGATGTACAAATAACTAATCATACAAACAAAAAAAGAAAACGATAATCATTAGTTGAGTTTCTATTATAATTGTATGTTATTTGTTCCTAGTTTTTCTTCTTGATCGATAATGGTTGCTTTTGTGGAATAATCATAGAATGAAGGTCATATTTGTATATATATACATATTGAATTAAAGAGAAAAAAACTCGACTATGATTATATAGATTTTCTTTTCTGAATAGTTTTGCGAGAATGCATCGATGATTCAGATAATGGAACATATGGATTATGATTTGTGGTATGCATATGATAGAGATCTTTGTCTATGTCAAGGATAATATTTGTTTCAACTGAATAACATCGATTATTGACTAAACATATATATATATATATATATATATTCAATAAATAAAATCTAAAAAATAAAATTTTGTCCATTAAATAAAAATTTGTATAAATGAATCTGATTTGATATTGAATAATGACATTGATTTATTCGTTTAAATCGAATAAAATCTTATGAAGATTTGGTTGATAAAAAGTGAAAATAGTCAGATTTATTTATATTAATAATAATAATAAGTTGAATTGATTGATATTTATAAATCGAAAAATGTAATAAATATATCTCCTAAATATAATTTATTTTTAAAAAATCGAAAACACATTCTTAATAAAAACGAGTTAGATTATTTTCAATTATTTCACATCCACCTTTTTCAATTCAAATCGAATAAAATGATTTTTTATAAATAAAACCTTTCGATGAAAATAATATATATTCATTTAATTATTCAATTGAAGTTAATCATGATGATCAGGATTTATTTAAATCAATATGATTTAAATATAAAAAATTTTTTTTTTTCATTTGACATTTTGAGTGAATTTTTATTTCTAATTAATTGGTTTTTTTTAAAGAATTTTTTCAATTTATTTTCAAAATATTTAAAACGTTCTCTCAATATTTCAATTCGTCCATTCTCAATCATTTTCATTGGAATAAACTAAATTTTAAAAAAAAGCTTAACGTTTAAATGTAAATTGAATAAAATGAGTTTATTCTAATATATCGAATATATAATTCGATGTTTCATTTAATATTAATTCAATTAAATAATATTGACCCTATTCAATATTAAATTGATCTTCATTCTATTTATTTATTTATTTATATATTTATTAAAAAAGA